GGACAGGGGACAGGGGACAGGGGACAGGGGTGAGCCACAAAGACAGCGCCGCACATGCCGTTGGGCCAGCAGTAACACCTCTGCGCGGCTGCTCGGCGGATCGCAAGCGCTTGAGCTGTGTCTGTGCGAGAGAGACGCAGCGCTCGCTGCTGTGGAGGCAAGCGGCAATCTGGGAGCAAGCAGCAGGCCTCACCTGGAATACACTCCAGAACGCCGCGCCGCCGCCGCCTCGGCAGCTGTGCTCGTCGCAGCCCAGAAGCTTCCGGCACGCCGCGTTGGTATCAAGAATCCTCCATTCCCCGGCGCCGAGCCCGCCGGCGGGGCAGCCGCTTGCGGGTCGCGGCGCTTGCACAGCCATTGCCGCGCACGCCATCAATTCCAGCGCCACGGCTATCCGGCCGGGCGGCCGCGCCGCGCCGGTTGTGCCGCCGGCGAAGCCACGCGTCGGCGAAGGCGGCCCGTGCTGCTGCTGCTGCTGCTGCTGCTGCTGTTGCTGCTGCTGCTGTTGCTGCTGCTGCTGCTGCTGCTGTTGTCTCGCCTGAAGCTCGTGAGCGCAGTCCCCCTCCACCTCACGCGCCGCCATGTCCGCGAGGCTCGCCAGCACGCCTCGCGCCTCCAGCTCAAACGCGCGCGGCTGCGTGTCCGCGAAGCAGAGCGTGCCCAGCCGCGCGCCGGCGCTAGATAGCAGGGCGCAGCCGGCGTAGAAGCGGAGGCGGGGCGGGCCCGCGACGAGGGGGCCGCAGCGCAGGTGGCCGTCCAAGAGGGCGTCCTCGATGACTAAGGGCTGAGAAGTTGCCAGGTTCCTGAAAGTGATGGTGGATCGGGATCGGAGAGGGGGACGCAGGACGGCGTTGAGACTCGTGTGTGAGCAATGTGTCGCGACCGCTCTTTGTGGGTGCTGGGGCAGCCTTGGATGCTCATGCGGCACGCGTACTGTGCCATGGCGATGCTGGGCGGCCCGCGCGAGGCCGCGGCAGCCTCTGCCCCTCACCGTGCGGCCAGCGACGCCGACGGGTCCGCGCCGCTGTCTGATGGGTCTCCGCCCAGGCCCGACTCGAGCCAGACCAGAGCGATGGGGACCTGATGTGGATGAGACGGCGTCCAGGGGTGCACAGCTGCCTGTATGCGAGGCTAATCATGACCTCAATCATCAAAGTTGGCCAACTTTGACCCTAATGCCTGGCATGCTCACGGACGCCGTAGTGGCGCAGCCCCACCGAGCGACACTGCCGTCGCCGCTCTTTGTGCGTCGCACACGCCACGAGCGCGCAGGCCGGCTGCCGCTGCTGACAAGACCGTGCGCTCAGGCGAGCCGCATCGCACGCGGCCGCCGCCATGCCATCGTGCTCGCGTCTGCGTGCTGGTGCATAATCTTGTCACCCCCGGCCCCTTGGTCCCAACCCCACCTTGAACACCATCTTGCAGATGGTGCGGACGCCATCAAACCTGGGGTCGAGATCCGCCTGCGGTTGTGAATTGCAAGTGCCCAGCAAGTGAGCAGCGGAGGCAGCCGGGCGGCCACGGCCGGGGCGTGCAGGGCCCCTTTGTCGTCAGTTCAAGGGCGAGTCGCCGACCATGGCGGTTGGGGCGGCGCGCGCCCCTGCCATTTTGCCGCGCTCACCAGATCCACGTGTATGAGCTCCAGGGAGCCTGCTTTTGCATCGGTGCTGTTGCCGAGGCAGACGCCATCATCGGAAACGAGCGCGGCGTCGGCTTGCCCCGTCGGGGCGCACTGCTGCTCTAAGCGTGCTCGCCGCTTGCGCACCCAAGCTTTGAGGGTTCTGATCATCTGTTTTGGACTACAGCCGCGGTCACACGCACCGCAGCCTGGGTGCAATCATTCCCAGCACACGACACCCCGAATCCACAGCCCCCGGCACAGACTGATTCAATAGCTGCCTGTATCGTATTTTTTAATGGCATCCTCATCCCCATGTGCAGGTGAGCACGCTTTTTGGTTGGGACGCTGCGCACTGTAGATATGAGCGTAGCTCGACACGGCAGCCACTACATGTTCAACAAGCTACTGTAACCTAGTGCGATGATGTCAACCGTTGATCGACTCAAGCACAGGTCTGGGTGGCGGGGGCGACTGTGAAGCTGGCCATGTGCGTCGTGGTCTGCTCCAGAGAAAAGCAGGTGACAAACTGGCCAAACCTCCCGTGCGCATGCGCATGTCTGTGTCTTGAGCCATGCAGAGGAGGGGTCTGAGGCCCTGGTGGTGGGTTTCGGAGCGACCGGCTCGGGGCCTGTCGGTACGTGGCCGCTGCCCGGCCAGCGTGGGTACCGCTGCCAACCAACTGCGCCGCACATGGGACGTTGATATTGTTATCATCATGCTTCGTGGGCGCATGCGTGTTGCCTGTACAAAGGCATTTCACGTGGAGATGCATGCGGCTCCACATGTGTGTGTGTGCGTGTGTGTGTGCGCGCGTGTGCGTGTGCGCGCGCGTATGTGTGTGTGCGTGTGTGTGTGCGTGTGTGTGTGTGTGTGTGTGTGCACGCACGCGCGTGTGTGTGTGTGTGTGTGTGTGTGTGTGTGTGTGTGTGTGCGCGCGCGCGCGCGCGCGTGCGTGTGCTTTCCCGCGACTGCCATCTAAGCGCAACGCTGCTGGGGCTGCGGGACCCACGTCCCATGCAGAGCCAACGCTCCCCGCTGGCACGAAGCAGGACGTGGCTTACCGAGTGCCAATCCTAGGACTGCCATGTTGCAGGAATGCGCAGGGATTGTTTCCTGGCCAAAAGGGTCTCTGTGGGCGCCCAACCCAATAGGGAACTGAATCCACCTCTGGCCAGCGCACAATCATCATACTGTACCACAGCGTGAAACGCAGCGATGCCATAACAGACTCGTGCTAGTGCTAGTCCTGCACTCACGTATCATAAGGGTGTGAGTGCCAGCTCCAGAAGGACGGCTGCAGTAGATACCGAAAAAGCTGCAAGAGCAAGGGTGGCTACCTGCACCCACAGATGCCTTTCACGCACACCCGTCCAGCTGCAGCAGCTGGCACCAGTCCTTGTGGCCCCTGCTGCGATGCCAGCCATCAGCCTGGCACGCCCTTGCGCAGGAGCGCACTGCCCTGCAATCCATCCCCTCGTGCAGAGGCGCTCCGGCGGCCGCCGTCGTGCGGCACACGACGTATGGCAACTGTTTGGACACAGTCTCAGTGCAACTTGACACCGCGAATGTCTGGAGTAGGAATGGTCTCAAAGCATGTGTATTGGCACGCGGCAGGCGGCTTGTCAGCTGGCAAAATGCATCAGCAGGTCGGTTGAGGGGTGGTGGATGGACTGAGTTGTGTAGTGCCCAGAACTGCCGTCTGCTTGAGCACCAACCCCCGTAAATCAGAGTATAACATAAGAATATACAGTTTCTCACCTACTACACACCTGCATCCTTGACCTGTGCCTATGCTGTTCCCCACACCTGACAAGCACTCGCGGTCGGCCATCACCACGCAACCACCAGCAGAAATTGCTCTGCAGGAACGTGACGTATCAAGGCCAGGCCAGCCGTTGAGCACATTGTGCAAAGCTTAAGCGCTAGATTTCACCCCATGCTGCGCGGTGCATTGCAAAGCCAGTGGAAGACTTGGCGCGTGATCTCTGCTAAGCTCGCTGTCAGCTTTCAGCTCGCGACGCCTCGACTAGCCCTTTGTAGGATTTGCGCAGCAAGACAAGGCGGAGGCGCTGGTCCCATGGGTAGGGCCGCCGCGCACAAGGCGGGCGGCGCCGAAGGAACCGAGTCCGCCGTCACCACCAGCGCCGCCACGACCGCCGCAACGCCCCGGAAGCGCCAGCGTGCGGCGCCGCCGCCCGCGCCACCAGGCGCGGAGCTGCTGGCCAAGGCGGACAGGATCAGGCGGCAGCTGGCGGCGCTGTACCCGTCCCCGGGTATTCCCCTGGAGCACACGAACCATTTCCAGCTGCTGGTTGCCGTGATGCTCTCTGCCCAGGTGGCCCGTCCCGACACAGCCTCATCCCATGCGGCGCGACCTCCCTCGCGCCGCCGCGCCGGGGGGCGTGCTCGGAGCAGCCGCGTGCTGCATGAGCAGCACTGGCGCGGCGCGGCCGTGACGGGCGGGTCGCGGTCATGGCCGCCGCTCCCTGGGTGCTTCGTCCAAACGCACGCAGCTGCCGGCTGGGTCCACACGCCCTCCCCCGCGGCAACGCGCGCGCAAACTCGCCGGCCCACACGCGCGCGCACATGCACGCCTCAGCCGCCCGAGCACCCCGCCCCCAAAACCCTGCCAGACCACCGACAAGAAAGTCAACGAGGTCACCCCCACGCTCTTTAAACTCGCCCCAGACGCGGCGGCCATGGCAGCGCAGGAGGTAGGTGGCCCCCCGCCAGCTTGCCCCTGGACGCCCCCCGGCAGAGGGGCTGCGCGACGGCAATGCCGGGAGTTGCAGCTGCCGCGCGCACCCCTTCAGCTGCCGTTCCGCGAGCGCGGCAGCGACAAAACGAGCCAGAGGGCTTGAGCCGCGCCCCACATGAGACCCGGCGGCCCCCCCATGCAATCCCGCATTTCTCCAGGTGTCGGTCATCCAGGCTATCATACAGCCGATAGGGCTGGCCCCGACAAAGGCCAAGAACCTCCGCGCGGCGGCGGCGCTGCTGGTTGAGCGCCATGGGGGCCAGGTGCGGCGCGCACGACACAAGGCCGACTGCGTTCGGCATTTGTCCGGCCCTGCCGATCGAGAAGAAAGGAACTGCGGCCTGGGGCTCCCCGCCGCGCAGCGATGCCCCCTCGGCGCTTGCGCACGACTCGGCTGGGGCCACGCGCGCGCATCTGCACCCCATGTCCGGCATCTGTGCCTGGTCGCTTGCTTTTTTTAGGTTGCATTTGCTTGAGCCTGAGCTCGGTGGTCGGGGGTCCTTTCATGGCTTTCAAGGCTTGGAGACGCGCAGACATCAGTGTGGGCAGACCAGCCATGCCATCTTGCCTGCCCCATTTCCAATGCTCACTAAGCGCCCTCCGCGGCCCAACCACCCACCCTGACATCCACCCAGGTACCCTCCACCTTTGAGGAGCTCGAGGCGCTCCCCGGCGTCGGCCACAAGACGGCGTCTGTAGTCATGGCCCAGGCCTTCGGGTGCGCTGCTCTGCTGCACGCGCGCTGGTCTGCCCCCAGCGCCTCGTCCCCTTCCCTCCCGCTCTCAGATCACTGCTGCCCCTCACGCGGCAAAGCTCTCTCCCTCGGCTGGCACGGAGGCGCCGCCCTTGCTCCAGTTGTTATTCAATCCCTGAGGGCTCCCCCTGCCGCGCCCCCAACCAACCAAACGACCGATCAGTCCCATGCCCCTCCCACCTGCCGCCATCGATTCTCATGCGTGCTGCGGCCGTCAAGGTGCAATCTCCAATCATCTGTCCCTCTCGGTGCCCCGCGCGCAGGCTGCCTGCGTTCCCTGTGGACACCCACATCCACCGCCTGGCGCAGCGCTGGGGGCTCACGGCCGACGGCGCCGGCGGCGCCGGCGGCGTCGAGGCTACGGAGAGAGACCTTAAGGCGCTGTTTTTGCCTGAGGAGTGGTGAGGGTGTGCGAGGGGTGGCCGGTGCAGGTGGCGGGTGGAGGGTCGGGGCGTGGTTTTGGGGGACTCGCAAGAGGGGGGCCTGGGTGGGGCAGGTGGCGGGTGTATGTGTTTGAGGAGGGAGGTCGTGACACGAGGGAGGTTGGGAGGGGTTGCTGCCAGTTGCAGCCCAGGCGGCAGGGCGGCTGGGCAGCGCCGGGCGACCGCGCGTGCGTGGAGGGTGGCGTGAGCGAGGGCGGGGCGCATCCAGCAGGGCTGCCGGCTCCCGCGCGGCGCGGCCGGCGTGCCTCCACGGCTTGGTGCAGCTTTGAGACCAGCCTGACCCAGCTGGCCCTTTCTGGATTACGCAGGCACTCCCAGTGTTTGCAGCCAATGTGATACCATTCAATCTGATTGCATCCAATCCAAACCACCACAGGCACGACCTGCACCTCCAGATCATCTACTTTGGGCGCGAGCACTGCCCCGCGCAGCGCCATGACCCCACAGGTGGCCGCGAGGGTTGGGCGCCCCCCTGACGCCGCCCCCCTGACCCGGACCGATCCGCGCAACGCTTGCAACCGGATGCAACGTGATGCGCTGCGCCGCGTTCGGGGGAGGGGGGCCCGGTTGTTTCGGCGGCCTGACGCGACGCCCGATGTGTGGGGTTGCAGTCAGGGCGGACGTCGAGGCGGCCCGCTGCCCCCGCGGTGGCGCAGGCGTGCGCGGGTACGTTGTTTGCTTCAAACCTCACCTCGTCGCGCGCCCGCCGCACTAATTCGCGTCGCCGAACGCCCCCGTGTAGGCTGCCCCATCTGCTCCTGGGCGGCGGTGCCCCCTTACGACCGGTGAGGCCGGGCTAACTGGAGGTCGTCATGACAGATGCGTTTCTATGCATAGCGTTGGGTGCAACACGTGGTTCTGATGGGCCGCCTCTTGCTGTTTATACAGAGTATGTGATGTGATCATGGCCCTTGCAATGGGGATGTGGTATGGACCTCGGCTGTCCGTGTGACGAGCTCACCCTGCCCTCACACCCTTCAGGCCGGGCGCCTCGCCCGCCAAGGCCGCTGGCGCCAAGGGGGGCGCCCGGGCCGCAGCAGCTGCGGCGGCGGCGGCCGCGCAGGCGGCGGCGGCGG